CTTCGAAAAACTTTGCTCGGCACTGATTCACTGGTTTGAAAGAGCACCTTCAAAATAGAAGCATCTTGATATATTAGATATTTATGTATTTTTTGGTAGGTCTGAGAGGGTATTTTGATATCTATTTATTGAGTCGCAGGGGGATTGAAAATGTGATGGTGTAACTTGAGTGTACAGATCGACAGGCACAACTACAGCGTGAGGAGAACAGGGATGTATGATCGGGGTTTTCGAAACTAGGAGACATAAATTTCTCACCATTGGATTGATGGTATATTTCCAGTTCGACGTCGACGCGCACGATAATGTTGTAGTTTTGGGGACAACCATGGTTCGCTACGGGATGATCAGGTCACGTTATACTGGCTCGGCAGAGCATTGGAATGACCGCTGGAAGGCAAGGTGAGATATAACAATTTCCCTTTGGACGTCAACTATTCGAACGTACACTTTGATCATACGCACGCTTACGGGCATGAATTTACCACCATGGTCGTCCCGGCACAGTATGGACTGGTGTTCTACTCATATTATTATTTACCCTTAGTTGTTACCTATGTTGTAATTACAATTTCACACGGATGCACGTTTCGTCAGCCCTTGTGAAATCTTGTGGGTAAACATGTTGTGGTTCTACAAAGGAATTGTGCCCTCTCATCTATCTCGTTGCCTTGGCTCACAGTAATGTTGCAGATGCCGGGTGGCATGGGGCGGTCGCAACCGATGTCTCAGCTTTGCTGATGTAAAGCGATTCAGCTTAGTTGAACTGTTCGTCTTTGTTACTAGGTAGATCTGTCGATGCTACATTTTGTTGATTTTCGTAAGTCGGGGTCATAGTGCACTAACGGATCGCCTGCCTTATATCGTATGGAGCTTGCACTTTCCATATTCTTCATAATAATGGTAGTCTCTTGATCTTTTCAGTACATTCACACAACTTGCATGAGTAGGTAGGTAAGATGATATTTACTTTACATATATAAATTTAACTTCAGGATACTGCATTAACTGAAGTCTTTTACCATCTACCCACTCAAACTGAAGTGTCATATTCTGTCACCACACACACACGACCAGTTTCCAATGTGTCCCTGGTAAGATGTCCGTCATGCAATAGCGTATCTCTTGTACACTGTTATTATTGTGATATAGGGGTCCCCTTTTCAACATTTATCGGCAGGATTCACTTATAATAATATTTTTCGCCATTATCATTTGTGGATAGAAGTGTCGACCACTGGTATTCTCTTACTTATCAATGACTTTATAATAGTAGCTTTACTTTGGTTGTTACTTCTCTCATCTAGCAACAATAATTATAGGTGCCTACTTGGCATATATCCTAGCAGGTGTACTGATGTCATCCATAAATATACTTCCACGATACACTTAAGTATATATCAGTTCACTATGAAGTATATTATGTCTGCAATTATTGGTCGAGTACTTCCACCATAGTCTTGTGAGCTGGTTCACACTGATCAACCCCAAAAATTTGTCACAGCGACCAAAACATGAATCATTCGACTTAGGATACAGTGACAACACTCATTAAAAAGACACTTGCTGTACCAAGTTCGTCGCTGATTATTGTATAATTCATAGGATGAATGTTGCTCACACCCATCAACGGGTATATATATTACTCTTCGCTCTTAAACTTTTTGCTTTGCATTGTTGGGTCATCTCAAATGTATAGCAGATTGCTATAAGCTCTTTCACCCAACTGGTCATTATATCGGAAACACAACAAGTATTACATATTGTTTAGCTAACATCGACACGATTGAGTGGATATGTTCGTTCATAACCTCTTGTAGGCGGTAGAAGCATCGTTTCTACTGGGAAATGATGACCCCTCTGTGTGAGAAATTGTGGACTGTAATGAGATAAACTCATCTTCGAGCACCTTACCAATGCTGCAATCATGCTTCTTTGTAGATTGGTTTCAAGCCAAAGCAATTTTTGGCAATGAAATCTCCTGTAAATGTGCAATTAGCATTTTCAACATTGATTCTTTTTTATCTAGGCATGAGTTCGCTCGCAATAATGTCATAGCGAACACATTATTGGGATTTGTGCATACACCAGAAGGATACCTACTCGAGTACGTAATTCATATCATCAATGAATGTGAAAATAGAGAGCTCTTCTGTTATAAAAACTTAAATTTTGAGATACAATGATTTTTCGTGTCGGATCTTTCTGACTATAATAATACAGAGTGTTCTGAGCTAGAAACGCTTTCACATATGAAACTTGTAAACAATATGTACCTCAGTAAGAGGTGTAATTTTTAGATTATCACATTCTATGGCATTTTGATTGTTGTTGGATTCAAGGTTCTCTGTTGGCACATAGTTATCGCAATTTTTGAGTTTCTTTCCGTCAAATTCATAACTTTAATGCGGCAAGTTTAAATTTTCAAGTCATGTAGAGCTTCATATGCACATTCAGTTCAAGTATGTCCATGCTATCTAATAGATTGCAGGTTTATGTTGTAGTTCATTTGCAAGTTCTAAGTGTGAGCTTCTTTTGTTCAAGTGTCTGTCTCATGTTATCCTATTTGCAGTTCGTCCGATGCTCAAATGAGGTCCTTGTTCATGTTCGAATGAGGTCGCAAGTTCATATTCATTTAGAACTGAATTAATTGGTTTCAAGTTCATTTAGATCAATATTGCAATATCGCATATTCCCACAAAGTCCCATGTTTTCTCTCAAGATCAAAGCGTATTAACAGAGGTCCAGAGTCACCATAGAATGCGAGAAGCTTTGCAGATGGAGAGACTGGTGGAGTGATGAAGAAGTCTGTATGTTGTACTAGTTACTGGATTGTTATAGGGGCTTAATTCTGTACTCATTCGAGGTGCAATGTCAGTAGTCCAAAAGTGTTATTGCAAATACTATTACGGCGCAGAATTTCGGGCAGCCTTCCGGCGTCTGCCCCGTTTTAGGGGTGGAAAATCGTACGGAAAATCTGGGCCCTTTTCCCACCACTGCTAAGAAAGCGTGCATGGGTAAAACTGCCTACTCTATCGAGGACAACCTCAAGTGCCAGGGGGTTAATAAATTTTTCGATGCCCGACCACTCTACGCATGTTCGCTGCCACAAGCATGCATCCACATCCAGTATCGTTTTTTTGTTTGTTAGATAACAGTTATTTTTTTATTTTTTGAAAATATTTTGTAAGCAAGGCAGTTATTTCCCCGCAAGCGGGTACTTACGGGTATCCCCGCTTCGTCGCGCGCATCGCACCGGGATCCCTTCCCACCACGCTAAGAAAAGCGTGCATAGGCGGGGTTTCCAAGGCGATACGAACTTCGAAGAAGGAATTTGGGTGATTACCAGCTTCGTCGCAAGCGTCGGGACGCACTCCCTCCCACCACGCTAAGAAAAGCATGCATAGGTGGTTGTTTTGTCTCGACGAATGCGTTGAAACGGGTTCTCGGAGTTTTAAGGTTTAGAAGTTATACCTGCGCGGGGTCGACGATGTTGGAGGGCACGAAACCATTTTTTTATAATAAATTATAATTAATGATAATTAATTATAGTTTAAAAATAATTAATTATAATTACAATCATTAATCATATTTAATTATAACTAATAATAATTAATTTAAATTAAAATAATTAGTTATAATTAATTTTAATTAATTATAGTTAATCATTAATGATAATAATTAACTATAACCATAATAAAAATTAATTATAGTTTATTTTAATTAAAAGCAATCATTATTATAGTAATTAAATATAATGAAAATATTTAATTATAATTAATTTAAATTAAATATAATTAATTAATTAAGTATAATTAAAAAAAACTAAAATTGATTTTTTTTAAAGGCATGATCCAAATAGGATTTAGACAGGATTTAAGCCAAATTTATGCAAAATTTGGCCAAATCCCATTAAATCTCCCTCTGTTAATTAAACCTTCTATCTCCCTCTTTGATTTACGGGCTCCAGCCGAAGAAGCGCGTGGGAGGGACAAAGTTACCTTCACACCTAGCGAGCTCTCGTGCTACTTCCGCTCAAAATGCCGTTACTACGGATTCGAACAGGAAGGAACGTCGCTGGAGGGAGGCGGTGTAGTTTAGGGCTTCTTCGGCTTCGTATGGGTCGGCCGACTTAGATGGGGAGTTCGCCCTACAGAGAGCAGAAAGATCGGGAGGCGGCTTGTGGAGATCGGGCAAGGTAAGGGTTCCCTCTCTCTCTCTCTCTCTCTCTCTCTCTCGGCTTGTAGTCGGCACAGGCAGAGGGGCTCGCGACTCTGAGGAGGTCAGAAAAGGGAAGAGGTTTGCGAGTGGGAGGAAATGAGGGTTGTGGAAGAGAGGTATCGGGAGAGCTGCGGGAGAAAATGAGCGAGCCACCTGAATGCTTCATTTGAGTCGGTATTTAACGACGTGCAAGGGCGCTCAATTGAGGCAAGCCGCAGGAATCTTGCGAGGAGACGCGAACGGTGCCGACTGAATAGTGTTTTCAGCGGGTTTTGAGTCGGATTTTCAGGATTTCAGCCGGGATTTGAGTAGGATTTCTGGATTCAGGTATCTATTGATTTGATTTTTTTTTTCTGAATATGTTATTGAGGTCAACATCATAATGTTTTATCACATCAATACTATAACATGTACTTGATATTTATAATAGAAAACTATAATATTTATTTTGATAATATTATTCTTATTAGTGAGGCTATTCTATTTCTTTATTATTATTTTTTATTGTTCTTTTCTTTTGCATATATATATATATATATATATATATATAAGAACACTTTATCAATATATTTTTTAAATCCAATACCATTACAATTCTAGCTTTCTACTAGATTTAGCTCAGCTTGTTGTATTTAACGACATGCTTCTTAGTTTGTGTTTTTAGTAGAACTATTATTCATTCATAGATTTTTTGGAATAGAAGTTGAGAATTTTCATGCTTTATGTTCGGTGTTATGCATCTTACTTGCGCATCTGATCTGTACAATTATGTTTTCTAGGTTGCAACCTATAAGGGAGACAAGAGAGAAGCAGATACAGCTATGGAAGGAATTGATACTCGAATATTGTAGAAGTCAGAAAATATTCATAGTTGGATTGGATGAAGAATTCTCCCTCTTCTCTAATCAGTCTATTGAAAGTAAGTTTGGCCTCTTGAATAAAATAGTTATTCTTCTTAATTTTTATATGGTTTCTTAGTTGTAATTCATTGTTGGAGTGAAGTAAAGAGAAGATAAATATTTTCTACCTTCTTAAACTGATTTTACTTAATCCATAAGCATTCCATGAATTATACATTTTTTGAATGCTTAGGAGTGGCCGGCCACTGTTTGGATGGTTTTACAGTTGTTCAAACTATTCTTATGTTATGGATACCACTTTCATTTACATTAAACCATTAAGAAAAATGAACAACTTCATTGTAATAGTTTTTTTACTATGAAGTCATACAGACGATCCAAAATTTTGTTATCAAATTATGCGGTTATTGTGAATGACATATTCCTTTGTTGGATCTAGTTTTTTTTTATGGGTGACACTTGAATTTACTACTGGCAGGTGAGTTCTGAGGGTTATGATCTGAGAACTTTTGTGAGAATAGATAGAAAGGGGGAAACTCTATGGAAAAGATCTATTAGCTCAATTGTCTGTAGAGAATGTCAAAAAGATCCAAAATGTTCCTTTTTGTCATTTATTCATAGGGATCCAAGGGCTATAGAAAATGCTATATATATTAAATAATAATAATAATACAACAATTAATGACCCTTAGTATTGATTTTATTCTTCTTGCATAGCTACAATCTAAAATTCATTAGCTAAGATCTCATTTACACCGATGGGTTCAACCATGGAATAAAGATGATGTAATTTATCTCTTATTTAAGGCTATGTCTTGTTTTTAACTCCTGCTGAAGGATCTCTTATAATCAGGTTTCCATGGTGACTAGATGCATACTTTCAATCTCTTGGTGATGAACTTGGTAATGATTGTTTCATCGTTATTTGGTTTGTCTTCTAGGTTTAAATTTTTTATACTAAGTATAAGATCTTCCTTTTCTACGTCTTTGGGAAGAACAACACTATCATATTCATGAGTTGACTCTTCTACTATCATATCAAATGTCACATGTGTTGGCTCTTCAACCACAAGTATTCTCTTATTAAATATTCTGTAAGTTCTCTAACAAAGGTATACCTAGAATTATCGCCTCATCATATTTTGCATCAAACTTTTTCATACTTATTTTTATATTAATTAACATAAAATCCTTACACCTAAAAATATATTAATGTGTTAGGTTAGGTGTTCTACCTTAAAATAGCTCAGAAGGGCTCTTATTCAGCTTAGGTCTTATATGTACACAAAAGGTTCAGAGATGTTTGGTCATGAGCTCAATATCTTCATCAATAGCTCCATTCGAATCATTCTTGTTAGTAACGTTTGCTTTTACTGCTATTATTTTCTTCTTTTGCTTACCTGCATCTGTCTGCCTATAGCTAACTTTTTGCTTATTTGCTATTAAATAGCCAATCAAATAATCAATAGAATAAGAAGATAAAATTTGTAAATCATAAATAGCCATCACCTTGGTATCTTAATATTCAAGCAAAAAATTTAAAATTTTATTTAATTTTTTAGCATTAGAAAACTCTCTTTCTAATGTGTATGGGGAAGTAATAGTTTTTGTAAAGGGAGCATAGATATCATAAATATTTTCATTTGATTGCTCATGAAATAATACATATTCTTATAAAAGAATATTCATACTAGATTATTTTGCTTCATTTTCCCCCTCATATATAATGTACAGTCTATTAGACATTTCCTTATCCATTGTGTTGGTCGAGACATGCATGTAATATTTCAATTTAAGTGCAAAAAAAGTGGTTTAAGCATTTTAAATTCAGTTGTGCGGTCTGCCTTTCATCAAAAGTCCATTAATTGAATGAAATTTCAACTGTTTTCCCATTTTCAGCTATATGTGGCAGTGAATTTTTTAATTGTATTGGGTGCCATGTCTTATAGTTAATCAATCATATGAAATTTGACATGTGAACTTTCCAAATGTCAAAAGGCATGCTATCAAAAAGTGGTAGTCCGGTTAGTGAGTATCTTTCCAAAGTATTTCTATTTTTTTATTGTGTCATTTTTGGATCCTTGGTGTGATTAAACCTATCTAATCATGTGACCCGCTCTAATATCAATTGTAGTGTTTGCCACTTCCAAGTAGAGGTTAAATTATTATTATTTTTTTAAATTAGATTAAATTTACAGAAACTTAAACATTCTAATATATTTTTTTTGTAAAATAAAAATTTAAGTAAAATATCACCGTTTTTATTTCTACTAAATCAAATGTTTTCTCAAGGATATGCTTTTAAATGTCAATTAATTTTTTTTTCTACCAGGAAATATGAATTTTCTTCTGGTTGATAAGACTATAGAGAAAGTTGAAAGTAAACTTGAATTATGAAGGTCAACATTAGAGACTAAAGGTTTTCACTTGAGTAGATCTGAAACGAAATATATGGAGTGTAATTTTGGTAGTAATAGACCTAGTGAGGGGATTGTGACTTTGGGCGATCAAGTCATTAGTAAGAGTACACGTTTTAGATATCTTATATCTATTGTTCAGAGCGATGGTGAAATATATGGGGATATTTTCAGCAGAATTCAAGTTGGATGGTTGAAATGGAGGAATGCATCGGGCTTGTTGTGTGATAGAAAAGTACCCCTCAAACTTAAGGAAAAATTATATAAGATGATAGTGAGGCCTGTAATGCTTTATGGTGCTGAATGTTGGCCATTAAAAGAGAAGCATAATATTAAGTTAAGTGGTAGAGATGAGGATGCTCAGGTGGATGAGTGGTTTTACCCTTTGAGATAGGATACGAAATGAGCATATACGTGAAAAGGTTGGAGTAGCTCCAGTAGAAGATAAGATTAGAGAGAGTCGGCTTAGATGGTTTGGTCACATAAAACGGCGACCTTTCAATGACCCGGTTAGGAGAGTAGAGAGGTATTAGATTTGACTTATGTTAAGACCTAAAAAGACTTGGTTAGAAAATATTAGGAATGACCTTTCTTTATTAGATTTAAACTAGAATTTGACATTTAATAGGATACAATGGAGAAAAAGGATTCATGTAGCCGACCCCACGTAGTGGGATAAAGGCTTAGTGTTATTGTTGTTGTTGTAGTATTAGGAAATATGAATTAAGCTATATCAAATTATATTTAACTTTTAAGGATTCACAATTTCTCAAAACTTTCTCATAATGATCATCATAGTAAACAAAATCTTCACAAATCAAAGTAGTTGTGCAATAAGAACTAGTATGCAAAAAGGAAAATATAAGGGGAAAAAAGAGAATAATGCAACCCAATTTATAGTGGTTTGGCCTACTAGTTTATATCCACTGTCCAAGTTCTCTACTTTTTTGTGAGAGAAATGCAAAATGCATTAAAATAAGGAAAGAAAAAATTCTAGATACAAACTACTGAAGTAAAACCAACCTATCACATTCCTCCTTCAACAAAGAAACAAATGGAGGAGGAAGGCTGATGTAGGCAAGGAATGGATCAAAACAAGTTGAGTTGAAAATTTTGTAAGTTATACTTGAATCAGCTCATTAATGAGCCTCTTCTTATGTTTCAAGCTCATAAATGCTTTCCTCTACTAGATTTCAGCTCATTAATGTCTAGTAGAGAGCCTTTTTATGTTAAACCCGCAAAAATGATGTTTTAGAGCTCGCACGCTTTTCAAAGCGCCGCGATGAGTTTTAAGTGAAAAATTCAAGTTTGTCGGATTTCGATGGAAATAATTTTGAAAAATTCTACGCAAAATTCTAAGAATTTTGATATAAAACTTGTATTTGATTTTGCTTAATTTAGGAATTAAAATTCATCGAAGTCTCATAATTCCAATAATACCCCTAATGTTTATTCAAGCATGGGTTATTTAAGTGAGGGCAAAATTGACATTATGGAAATCCCTTTCTCTTAAGGGGACCCGGTCCCCATTTCTTTTCTTCCGCTCGAACTCACGAAAAGGAGAAGGTGGACGGGTAGGCGGATGGGAGAGGAGAACGGGTGGCTCCGGCGGCGGATTCCGGCAGCCAAACTTGGGGAAAATTGTAGGGAAGATTAAGAGAAGGCTAAGGTGAGTTTATGAACCATTTCCCATGTTTTTCCTTGGGGTTTTCTCAAGAAAAGATTTCTAGGGTTTGAGAAAACTTTGATTTTCTTTAAGAATTTTAATGGCGGATTGTTAGGGAATGATTAGAAGATATTTTTATATATAGAAATGTGATTTTCTTTGGAAGTTTTGAGTTGGAGAAATTTAGGGTTTTTCCATAAAATTAGACATTTTGAAACTACTTTTATAAAATTGATTCCTAAGGGTTCTATGATAGTTTCTAAGGGAAGAAATTGAGTTTTTCGTACAAAAAGTATTTTCCTATTTTTCTAATTATTTTTAATCCGAAAATATATTAATTTATTTATGAATTAAGTGTAAGGGAGAGTTTGGCATGTTTATGTGAGAGAATCATTGAAAATGTGTTTTCCAAATTTAGGGTTTTAAGATAATTTCAAAAATAATATTTATTTTAAATTTATAATGAGTGTAGGTAATGATGTTTGTGTTTCATTTAGGTGTTGAACACGTGGAAAGGAAGAGTTCGTAAGGATTTTTGGCGGAGCACGTTGTATTGAGGTAGGTAAATGTGGCACTTTTAAATTTAGAAGAAAATTTCAGTTCTTTCCACCATAACATGTTTTATATTGTTGTGAAGATTTTTAGCATTCTTCCAATCGTACTTCTTTTATATCTTATTATGCTCGTAATGTCATGCACATGTTTTCTATGGTTGCCTAATTATAAGAACTAATTATATGAACTAATTTGGTAATGGTTTAGAGACAATGTGTTATCTTACATTGCAAGTACACCTCTTATGTGATGATATATATATTGCACTTATTTCTTTCTAAAGTGATGAATAAAGAATGTACTTAGCTCTTTTTCTTTCCTAATGCTAACATGAAATCATGTAGCACATTAGGAGACAATTGATCATATGCATGAATAAGAATATTCCTATGAATAATTAAAGAACCAATGTATGTGCATGTTGAAGCGGAGGTATCTTTGGTAAAGGGATGCTCTTCTGAGCATTGGTAAAGGTGGTTCTTATGAACAAAATGGAAAAGGAATGGCCAAACAAATTGTACCTAATCATTACAAAAAATACATCCGAGACGGGTGATTACAAGATGCATATAAAACATCTTATGATTCATGAAATCAATTCATGTATTATGTAAAGTGATTGGTTGCAAGCGCAACTAAAGAAAGAGGCTTAATGGTTCACCTAGAGGCATGTTACTTAACTTTTATGATTTGTTTAATGTTCATACCCAAAGAATTGACATACATGTTATTCCTCTCACCTTATTCTCTAAATTTAATTGAAAAAGCATTTGCCTATTGAGTTATGACTCACCCATGTTGTGGAAAATTTTTAGGAGATTCTGCGAGTAAATAATGGCAGACAAACCACCGCGCACTTACGTCTTAGGGAGACGACGGGCGGCAGATTCTTTTGAGTTTTGTTATTTTGATGATAGAAAGTTGTATGTGTAGATTTTTTTTTGTGAGAGTTAGATTTGTTTGGATCCCTTTTATTGGAAGAACTCTCTATGTACATATTTCTTTTGAAAGATGAATGAAAAGTAAAAATTTTAATTGGATTTACTTTAGTGGCTCTTTCATTTTATAGTTGAAAATGCTTGATTTTTATTAGATCTTTTGATGATATGCTATGAAGGTTTATTTTCATCATGTCCGACCTCTGTTCCCGCCTCGCACTTGCGAGCTAACCGGGCCGAGTCGTGACAAGAGTGGTATCAGAGCAAAGTATTTGAGAATATTGATTTCATGAAAGAGCCAATAAAATGATCCTGTATGTTAGAGTAGGTATAAGATGCATGTGCTATATATTGCTTAGATTGCTTTGTTGCATTGTGTCTCAGGACTGAGGAACCTGAACCTGATGCCACTGATGGCAATACTGGAGAGGTCAGGAGGGAATTGCCAGCAGTAGTGGAGCCTCAGGGCAGTATCATTAATGCTAGTTTGGATTCTTTCACCCAAATGATGGCGGCTATGACACAGATGATAAAGAGTACTCAGACTCAAGCTGGAGGCAGTGGAAGCACTGTGATGGATAAGAATTTAAAGTTATTCCAAGGTATGAAGCCCCCATCATTCGTAGGAGGTGGACCTATAGAGGCGGAAGACTGGTTAATGAAGGTTGAGAAGATTTTGGAAGAAATGCTATGCCCTCAAGATAGAAGGGTTTCCTTAGCTGCTTATGCTTTCAATGGGGAAGCAGAAAGATGGTGGAGAAGTCAGCTAGAAGAAACTTTTGGTGGGAGACCTAACAGCCAAGTGATATGGGAGGAGTTTGTTAAGGTGTTTAGAGATTGGTATGTACCAATGACTGCTAGGAAATGCAAGATAAATTTATGAGATTGGTGCAAGGTGACAGAACCATTATGCAGTATGAGGCTGATTTCACCATGCTTTCTAGGTATACATGTCATCTAATTCCTAATGTAGAAGAGAAATGCCACCGCTTCCTTTGTGGCTTGAGGGATAGCATTAGACAACCATTGGTTCCTTTGGGTATTAAAGATTACTTTACTTTAGTTGAGAGAGCACGAAAGATTGAGCTGGATTTACAGAGTACTCAGAGGAGGAGAGATTTCCAGAAGAGGAAGAATGAAGATAGATCCAAATCTACCCAGTCTTTTCATTCTGGAAGGCCTAATTGGAAGAAGTTTAAATCCAACATTCAGAGAGTAGCACTTCTACAGCTGTATGCAATAAGTGTGGGAGAACTCATAAGGGAGAGTATCTTTCTGGCACTAATACATGCTACTGGTGTCATCAACCAGGGCATATGGCAAAGTCTTGTCCTCTCTTAGGACAAAAACCTACTATTGAGGCCAGAATAGGTAACACTCTTCCTCAAAGGACAACTGGCAGGCCAAGAACTGTAGAGTCTACTGGATCTACCCCATCACAAGGCCAAGCTTGTCCACCGGTTCAACCAAGAGTTTATGGATTGTCACAACAAGAGGCTAAGGATTCTCCTGATGTTATCACAGGTATGAACTTTATTTAATGTCAATGGATTTCTTTATAATGTATAAGTAAGATGAGCTTTATGTTATGTTACATGCATGATTATTAGGAACAATCTTTGTATGTAACAAGCCTGTTAAGCTGTTGTTTGATACGGGAGCATCACATTCTTTCATTTCGGAGGAGTTTTTTAAGTCTGATGGTTTGCTTTCCTCAAGTATGCTCAAGCCTTTATTAGTTTTGATGCCCAATGGGAGTCAGTTGAAAACCAACAAAAGGTGTCATGTAGAGTTGGCTATTGGTGATAGAATCTTGGGAGCAGATCTTATGTTATTGCCTTTAATGAAATTTGATATGATTCTAGGTATGGATTGGTTGTCTTGTCACTTTGTGACCATAGACTGTAATAAGAAAGAACTTAAATTTTGTATGTCAGGGGAGAGAATTTAAATTCATAGGGGAAAAAGGCATAACTTCTATGATAATCTCTTTCTTGGTGGCATATAAATTGTTGAGGAAGGGTCACGAAGGCTTTCTAGCTTATGTTAAGGAGGAGAAGAAAGAAGAGAGGAGATTAGAGGATATACCTGTCGTGCAAGAGTATTCAGAAGTGTTTGCAGATGATTTACCTGGCTTGCCTCCAAGCAAGGAGATTGATTTTACTATTGAGCTGGTTAGTGGAGCAGATCCTCTTGCCAAAGCCCCTTATCGGATGACGATAAAAGAGCTGAAGGAACTGAAAGATCAATTGGAAGAGTTGCTTAATAAAGGATTCATCAGGCCTAGCACTTCTCCTTGGGAGGCTCCTGTGCTTTTTGTGAAGAAGAAGGATGGAAGTTTAAGGCTTTGCATAGACTACAGAGAATTGAACAAGCTGGCCATAAAGAATAAATACCCTCTTCCGAGAATTGATGATTTGTTTGATCAGTTGAAAGGGGCCTCTGTGTTTTCCAAGATAGACTTGAGATCAAGATACTATCAGCTTAAAGATTAGAGAAGAGGACATAACAAAGACAGCGTTTAACACTAGATATGGGCATTATGAATTTGTGGTGATGCCATTTGGACTTACAAATGCCCCTACAGTGTTTATGGACCTCATGAACAGAATCTTCAATCCATTTATGGATCTATTCGTGATAGTGTTCATCGATGATATATTGGTGCATTCCCCAAATGAAGAGATTCATGCAAATCACTTGAGGATGATGTTAAATGCATTGAAAGGAAATGAATTGTATGCTAAGTTCTCTAAATGTGAGTTTTGTTTGAAGAGTGAACTTTTTGGGACATGTGATAAGCAATGGAGAGATCTCTGTGGATCAGCACAAGGTATAAGCTATAGCAGATTGGCCACGACACATTACTGTGACGGAGATCAGGAGCTTTTTTGGTTTGGCTGGTTACTACAGAAGATTTGTTGAGGGGTTTTCTCGAATAGCTATGCCCTTATCTAGATTGACCCAAAAGGTAGTGAAGTTTGATTGGTCAGATCAATGTGAAGAGGCTTTTCAGAGACTGAAACAATGTTTGATGACTGCTCAAGTGCTTACTATTCTTTCAGGGATAGATGGATTTCAGCTTTATAGTGATGCCTCTCACAAAGGGTTGGGTTGTGTACTGATGCAGAATGGAAGGGTCATTGCCTATGCTTCTAGGCAACTGAAGAACCATGAAAGAAACTATCGAACCCATGATCTGGAGTTAGCTGCAGTGGTCTTTGCCCTAAAAATTTGGAGGCATTACTTGTATGGGGTGAAGTGCGAAGTTTTTACTGATCACAAAAGTTTGAAATATATCTTCACACAGAAAGAGTTGAATTTGAATCAGAGAAGATGGTTGGAGCTTATCAAGGACTATGATTTGGATATCCAATATCATCCAGGCAAAGCAAATGTAGTAGCAGATGCCTTGAGCAGGAAGACTTCCAGTAGTGCCAGTTGGATGATTACACAACAGCATGAGCTGATAAGAGATTTAGAGAAGCTAGAGATTTCAATAGTTCAGCCCAATGATGCAGAGTTTGTGGCTTTGAATCAGATGATCATTCAATCAAAATTGAAGAATAGGATAAGGGAAGCTTTGCCACAAGATGCAGAATTTGAGAAAGTCCTAAATATGGTGAAGGTAGGACACGTGGAGGAGTTTGAGTTTGATAAGGATGAGCTACTACGGTATAGAGGTAGAATTTGTATTCCTGATGTTGGAAGTTTGAGGAAAGACATTCTTCAAGAAGCTCACTATTCAAGTTACACCATTCACCTAGGTAGTAACAAGATGTACCAAGATTTGAAAGAATATTTTTGGTGGCCAGGGATGAAGAGAAGTGTAGCAGAAGTGGTGGCTAAGTGTACAGTTTGCCAGATGGTTAATGTAGAACATCAAAAGCCAGGAGGTTTATTGCAGCCTTTACTCATACCGGAATGGAAGTGGGAAGACATAGCCATGGACTTTGTAGTTGGATTACCCAGGTCCAGAAATGGTCATAATGCTATATGGGTGATAATTGATAGGTTGACCAAATCGGCACACTTTTTACCTATCAAGCAATCTGATGCTGTTGAGAAGTTGGCAAGTGTGTATGTTAATGAGCTTGTTAAACTTCACGGTGTACCAAGATTGATAGTATCAAATAGAGATGAGAGATTTACCTCTCGGTTGTGGAGGAAGGTTCAAGAGGTAATGGGCACTAGACTCACTTTCAGTACAGCCTCTCACCCTCAAACAAATGGTCAATCAGAGAGGACTATCCAGATCTTAGAGGATTTACTCAGATTATGTGTACTTGATTTTGGTGGCAAATGGGAGACACACATACCACTGATTGAATTTGCTTATAACAATAGTTTCCAATCAAGTATAGATATGACACCTTATGAAGCTTTGTATGGAAGAAAGTGTCGAACTCCTTTATGCTGGGCTGAGACAGGAGAAAGAAAGATCATTGGAGCTGACTTAGTAGACGATGCTACTGAAAAGATAAGACTGATCCGTGACAGATTGAAGACTGTGCAAAACAGACAGAAGAAATACTATGATGCCAAACATAGATCAATTGAGTTTGATGTTGGAGAGTTTGTATTCCTCAAAGTTAGTCCTATGAAGGGTGTTAAGAGATTTGGCAAAGTGCGAAAATTGAGATTATGGTATGTTGGCCCATTTGAAATATTAGAGAGAGTTAGAAGTGTGGTCTACAGATTGGTTTTGCCATCTCATATGAGTGGAGTACATAATGTATTTCACATCTATTCTTTGAGGAAATACATTGCAGATGAAGCTCAGAAGATCAGTATTGAATCAATAGATATCCAGCCAGATCTGACTTTTGTAGATGAGCCTGAGAAGATCATAGATTATGATGTTAAGCAGCTTCGAAGCAGAGAGATTCCTTATGTTAAGGTTCTTTGAAAGCATGGATCTGAGAGGGATGCTACATGGTAGAAGGAATCAGAGATGAGGGAAAGTTATCCACACCTATTTATTAAGGTATGATTCATTAATGCTTGTCTTAAATTTCGAGGATGAAATTTTTATAAGGGAGGGAGAATTGTAAAACCCGCAAAAATGCTGTTTTAGACCTTGCACGCTTTTCAAAGCGTCGCGATGAGTTTTACGTGAAAAATTCAAGTTTGTCGGATTTTGATGGAAATAATTTTGAAAAATTCTATGCAAAATTCTAAGAAATTTGATATATAAAACTTGTATTTGATTTTGCTTAATTTAGGAATTAAAATTCATCGAAGTCTCATAATTCCAATAATACCCCTAATGTTTATTCAAGCATGGGTTATTTAAGTGAGGGCAAAATTGACATTATGGAAATCCCTTTCTCTTAAGGGGACCCGGTCCCCATTTCTTTTCTTCCGCTCGAACTCACGAAAAGGAGAAGGTGGACGGGTAGGCGGATGGGAGAGGAGAACGGGTGGCTCCGGCGGCGGATTCCGGCGGCCAAACTTTGGAAAAATTGTAGGGAAGATTAAGAGAAGGCTAAGGTGAGTTTATGAACCATTTCCCATGTTTTTCTTAGGGTTTTCTCGAGAAAAGATTTCTAGGGTTTGAGAAAACTTTGATTTTCTTTAAGAATTTTAATGGGGGATTGTTAGGGAATTATTAGGAGATATTTTTATGTATAGAAATGTGATTTTCTTTGGAAGCTTTGAGTTGGAGAAATTTAGGGTTTTTCCATAAAATTAGAAATTTTGAAACTACTTTTATAAAATTGATTCCTAAGGGTTCTATGATAGTTTCTAAGGGAAGAAATTGAGTTTTTCTTACAAAATGTATTTTCCTATTTTTTAATTATTTTAAATCCGAAAATATATTAATTTATTTATGAATTAGGTGTTAGGGAGAGTTTGACATGTTTATGTGAGGGAATCATTGAAAATGTGTTTTCCAAATTTAGGGTTTTAAGGTAATTCCGAAAATAGTATTTATTTTAAATTTATAATGAGTGTAGGGAATGATGTGTGTGTTTCATTTAGGTGTTGAACACGTGAAAAGAAAGAGTTCGTAAGAATTTTTGGCGGAGCATGTTGTATTGAGGTGGGTAAATGTGGCACTTTTAAATTTAGAAGAAAATTTCAATTCTTTCCACCATAACTTGTTTTTTATTGTTGTTAATCGTATTTTTTTTATATCTTATTATGCTCGTAATGTCATGCACATGTTTTCTATGGTTGCTTAATTATATGAACTCATTTGCTAATGGTTTAGAGATAATGTGTTATCTTACATTGCAAGTACACCTCTTATGTGATGATATATATATTGCACTTGTTTCTTTCTAAAGTGATGAATAAAGAATGTACTTAGCTCTTTTTCTTTCCTCATGTTAACATGAAATCATGTAGCACATTAGGAGACAATTGACCATATGCATAAATAAAAATATTCCTATGAATAATGAAATAACGAATGTATGTGCATGTTGATGCGGAGGTATCTTTGGTAATGGATGCTCTTTCGAGCATTGGTAAAGGTGGTTCTTATGAACCAATGGTAAAGGAATGGCCAAACAAATTGTACCTGATCAGCACAAAAGATACCTCTGAGATGGGTGATTGCAAGATGCATATAAAACATCTTATGATTCATGAAAATAATTCATTTATTATGTAAAGTGATTGGTTGTAAGCTCAACTAAAGAAAGAGGCTTAATGGTTCACCTAGAGGCATGTTACTTAACTTTTATGATTTGTTTAATGTTCCTACACAAAGCATTGACATACATGTTATTCCCCTCGCCTTGTTTTCTAAATTTAATTGAAAAAGCATTTGCCTATTGAGTTATGACTCACCCATGTTGTGGGAAATTTTTAGGAGATCCTGCGAGTAGATAATGACAGACCAACCACCGCGCATTTAATGTTGTAGGGAGACGACGGGCGGCAGGTTCTTTTGAGTTTTGTTATTTTGATGATAGAAGGTTGTATGTGTAGATTTTTTTTTGTGAGAGTTAGAGTTGTTTGGATCCCTTCTTTTGGAAGAACTCTCTATGTACATATTTATTTTGAAAGTAGAATGAAAAGTGAAAATTTTAATTGGATTTACTTTATTGGCTCTTTCATTTTATAGTTGAAAATGCTTGGTTTTTGTTAGATCTTTTGATGATATGCTATGAAGGTTTATTTCCATCCTGTCCGACCTCTTTTCCCGCCTCGCACTTGTGAGCTAACCGGGCCGGGTCGTGACATTTTAGCTCGTAAATTGAGATTCATTCCCCTATTTGTTGTCCCTTTGATTCCCATGGATGGCTCTTTGGTTCTCGTGGATGGCCCTTTGGTTCCCATGCCTTTGCTCCTTGGTTTTCCCGATTGGCTGCTGGTTTTCCCGTGCTGGATGGCCTTTCCCGTGCCTTGGTGCTTCGGTTCCGTGCGGGCCTCCTTGGCTTTTGCAGCTGCCTCTTCGGGCTTCGCCTGGGCTGTTTTCCCGTGACTGTTGGGGGCTTTTCCGTGGCTTTGGTGCTTCGTTTCCTGGAGTTGACTGTTGGCTTTTCATATTCCCTATTTAAATAAGCTTTTAAACTAATGTTGTGGCTATTTGTATTCCCCTCTCATGCCTATATATAGGGATGCTTTGTGTATGTTTAAAAAAATGTTATATGAATGATTTTTGGAAATGTAAACCTGCGGGTTTTGTTGGAAATGCTTGCGAGCTTGTTCCATTCTCCTTCTCATCTCCTCTAGGAAAGACTTGCGATTTCTTTCCACCCTTCGTCTTGGCTTCTAACCTCTTTCGTCTCTCCGCAAGTACCACCTCACCTGTATCCTTCTTCTTTTGGAAAGCAAGTTTAGGGTGTCTTGTTTAAGTCAAGTTTGTAAGAGTCCTTGTTTGTAAGTCCTTTTATAATATTAAAGTTGTGTTTTATTTTGTTAGTTAAATTTTGTAAAGTTTTGAGTATTTTATGTCTTTCTATCATCTAAGAAAGAGTTTTGTTTTTGTTATAAAAAATTTGGGGCCCTCTCCCAAATATTTGATTGCATTAATTTGGTATCAGAGCAAGTTAGGAAGTCCTAGGATTTTAATTTGGTTTGTCAAGTCAAGTCTTATTGTGTAAGTCTTGTGAGTCTTATAAATCTTGTGTGTCTTGATGTCATGTAAGTTTTGTTTGTGAGTTCTAGATGTGTCGTGATAGTTGTGCGTGAGTCTTGTTTTGTGTCTTCCTAGGTTTGTGTCTTAAGTCTTGTGTCTTTCTACATCAAGTGGAAAGCAAGCAAGAAAGTAAACCAATGGACCTCGCCACAAGAAAGTTCTTTCGACCCGATTCAGATCAAGCTTTTCAAGATTCAAGTGCAGCTACACTCAAGTGCCAAAAATTTTGAAGCAAAAAAATTCAAGAGCTGGATGCACTGTCCTTGCCTCCTCCGAAGAAAGCAAAAGCCAACTCATCGGGAGATGAGTTCTTCAAGAAGGGGAGTCTGATATAGGCAAGGAATGGATCAAAACAAGTTGAGTTGAAAATTTTGTAAGTTCTACTTGAATCAGCTTATTAATGAGCATCTTCTTATGTTTCAAGCTCATAAATGCTTTTCTCTACTAGATATCAGCTCATTAATGTCTAGTAGAGAGCCTTTTTAGCTCATAAATTGAGGTTCATTCCCCCATTTATTGTCCCTTTGATTCCCGTGGATGGCTCCTTGGTTCCCGTGGATGGCCCTTTGGTTCCCGTGCCTTGGCTCCTTGGTTTCCCCGATTGGCTGCTGGTTTTCCCGTGCTGGATGGTCTTTCTTGTGCCTTGGTGCTTCGGTTCCGTGCGGGCCTCCTTGGCTTTTGCGGCTGCCTCTTCGGGTTTCGCCTGGGCTGTTTTCCCGTGGCTGTTGGGGGCTTTTCTGTGGCTTTGGTGCTTCGTTTCTTGGAGTTGACTGTTGGCTTTTCATATTCCCTATTTAAATAAGCTTTTAAATTAATGTTGTGGCTATTTGTATTTCCCTCTCATGCCTATATATAGGGATGTTTTGTGTATGTTTAAAAAAATGTTATATGAATGATTTTTGGAAATGTAATCCTGCGGGTTTTGTTGGAAAAGCTTGCGAGTTTGTTCCATTCTCCTTCTCATCTCCTCTAGGAAAGACTTGCGAGTTCTTTCCACCCTTCGTCTTGGTTTCTAACCTCTTTCGTCTCTCCGCAAGTACCACCTCACCTGTATCATTCTGCTTTTGGAAAGCAAGTTTAGGGTGTCTTGTTTGAGTCAAGTTTGTAAGAGTCCTTGTTTGTAAGTCCTTTTATAATATTAAAATTGTGTTTTATTTTGTTAGTTATATTTTGTGAAGTTTTGAGTATTTTATATCTTTCTATCATCCTAGAAAGAGTCTTTTTTTGTGATAAAAAATTTGGGGCTCTCTCCCTCAATAATAATCCCTTTCGCAATCTTGCATCCATCCTTGCATCACCTTCTTTAAAGATTTCAAAGCAAGTAACTCCAATTGTGCAATGCCCCAATGAACACAACCAAATCCAAATGCTAACAAAAATCTTCCTTTACTATCTCTTACAATACAACCAACACCCGCCTTATTCGATATCTTCAAAGGAGCATCAATGTTGATCTTCAACCACTCGGGAGGATGAGGGTGCTAAAATTTAGGAAACAATCTTAAAGATTGATTAGCACCCAGTAATCCAAGATGATTTCCTTTTGATTGGTAATATTCACAAAGCTAATCACTCGAGCAACAACCACCGCATCACTATCCTCCATATTACCATGCTTCACTTTATTCCTGTTATTCCAAGAAAACCATGTCAAAGTAAAATATACCTTAACAATGAACAGATGTCTCGCAGCCATTTTCTTCAACTCCCGCAAGCAGACCTGAAATGAACAAAAGTTCATTATAGTAAATCCCCAGTCATTAAGCAATTTGATAACCTTAATCAGCTTTGGGCATGTAGCAGTAATATGATTAGTATCAGCCCCTTGGACATAAAATGTTATCAGATAATCTTCTATGTATAAGCAATTCAACTATTGGAATAACATTCCTACAAATACGCCACTAGAAGAGCTCCACACGAGAATTAAGCTTCAACTTATATATCCATGAAACGAAATGATCCTCACCATCTTCCTCCATACCAGCTTCTGTAACCAAAGCCGAAATAGTCTTGCCAGTCATTGAGAACTTCAATTCCATACAATCTTTTCAACCAAATTAGAACAAATATTAGCATTGCCTATCATGCTCGCATGGTCTTCCCCAAAAAGCATATTTAACTTACCATAATTCCAATAACCATTAATAATGAAATAAGTTGTGCCTTTATCCTCAAATCTTACAACAAATGTTGGCCATTTTTCTATACACCTATCCATTATCCACACATCCTTCAAGACATTAATGTAGGATCCAAAAACAACTCTCCATCTAACAATACTTTTGAGATCTCTCCATCCACTCAAAATAATCTTCCATGTAGCTAATCCACCTTTCTTCTCTTCACACCTCCACCAGTTATCACCAAATTTGACCAACAAATTTCTATTCAAAAGAGTAAACGGATTATTTGAAAGGTTCCAAGCAAACATTGCTCTCAAAGGACCAATCCTGGATACCGCTGAATGAATAACACATCCCCCCATCTTCAATGGTTTACACATGATATCCCAAGCCACAAAATGTAGGCCATGACTTCCATCATGCTTATCCCAAATATAATTCCTGCATAACTTATCATATTCCTTCAAAATGCTCAAAGGAACTAGAGAGTGTGTTGAAAGAAACAAAGGAAGGGTAAGAAAAACTGTTTTGACCAAAATCATTCTCCCTGCAAGAGAAATGAATCTATTTCTCCAAGCATTTAATCTTTTCAATGATTTGTCCAATAGATTTTGGAAATTAGATTTCCTTAGTCTTCTAAGAGCAATCTTATTCTGCAAGTACTCCATCTCCTCAACTACCTTAAAACCCAATAAATTTGTAATTTGACTAATCTTTCTCCTTATAACAGTTTTACTAAATAACATAAAACATTTTTTAAGATTAATAACTTGCCCAGTCCATTTACAATAATGCATTAGAATTGTCTTCAGTT